TATAATTTGTTAAAATCCACAGTATGGCAAGTAACCCTGTATTATTACAATTTCACTAAATCTAATTAAAAAAACAAAAAGGCGAATATAGAAAAAAATGGCAAATCACAACACTATGCTCTTCTAATGGTTTTTTAATTATAGACTGTCCTGTGCTCTTTAATCCATTTAAGGAATGGTGACATTTTCTGGTCATTTATTCCTGCTTAATTGTATCTATATAAGGTAGGTGGTGATTATTCATCAGAATTCATCAGAATTGTGTTGAAGAAAGGTTAGAATGGATTATATTTTTCTGCATTCACTTGGCTTTGTTCTGATTCAGTGCTGGTGATGTCAGCCGTTATTAACCTTCTAATCCCATTAAACAATTTCCAAAATTAGGCTAGCATCATAAAATATATTTTATTGAAATGATAAAATGAGAATGTCATGTAGTCAAGAGTTATAGAAATTCTAAGTCCCTGAGATATTGTTTTGTACAATTCTTATTTGTGTTTTTTTGCAGTTGGCTCATTATTAGAACCAATGAGTTTGTTCATTCTTTCTTTTTTCTGTCTTGCGTTTATGTTTTTAGTCTCTCTTTTATCTGTGTCATTTTATTTCTCTCTCACACCCTAGAAAGAAAGTGATATGGGTAAGGAACTTAATTTGGGAAAAAATGTTTTTGAAAACTTGCCTCTAACTGTTGTAACTTAGTTGTTATTAATTTACAGTTTTAGCAGCTACACATGAAAAATATAAACGATTCTGTTGAACAAAACATGATCAATTCACACACTTATTTGACAATGTGGCTCTGTGTCAGGTATTAGGGAGGCTTAATCTGCCCACATACAGTAGTAATATGCAGTTAGGTTGCAATTTGCGTAAGTGATTTCATTGGGTTAGTAAATTTGTTTGATGATCAATTGAATTCTTGAACTAAATGGTTTTATCAGTAACAGCAGCAGTCAGTATATGAAAATATACAATACGTATTTATTGATAACACACAATAAAACAAATGTTGAGTGTGCCAACTTTATTAAATTGATTTACTAGCCCTCAACATGTTTATGTCTATGTATATTACCAGGGGAGTATTGTGTGAAGTGATATACTTACCCATCAGAGCATTGTGATTGGTTAGCTGAATCAGCCAATCAGGTGGCTCCAATTGAGCACTGACAGACCTCTCTGCCTTGATATTTCAGTGTAAGCAGAGTCTTCAACCAGTTGGGTTGACGATGAAGCATAGTCTTCAACCAGGGTGAAGATAAAGCATTTTTTCAGCAAACTCTTCAGAATTTCTTTATGTTTCAGGATTGTTCTTTTTTATTTATTTTTATTTTGGGTCAAAGATTTATTTATCTATTTATTTATTTATAAAATATTTTACCAGGAAAGATACATTGAGATTTATCTTGTTTTAAAGTATGCCCTGGGTCCACAAAATATTGCAATGATACAATAGGGTACAATAAAATACAAAAACAATATATACAAAATGTAACATCCAAGTATGTATATTTTTTACAGGTTATTTAAAAACATTTTACAATATTTGGGTCCCATTCACTATTAAATTTTAGTACGAGAGAGTTACATAGAGTCATATATTGCTGACCCTTAGACTACATGGGAGACTTATTTTAGCAAATTACTGATTAACGTCTCTATGGGGTTAACCCAGAAGAGCCAGGAGATTAATGTTGAAGTAGCCTTGAGAAACCCAAAGTTGTCCACTATTGGCATTTCTTCAGCAGGGCCATACTGATAAATAGGTCAGTGTGTCATTGTATACAGCAAGGCATGATATGTAAATTAAAAAATAATATCAAGATGTTAAGCAGAATAAAAGAACAATCCTTAGCTATTTCTCCGTTTGCAAGTGTATTTGACTGTTTCACTTATAATTCTTCGAGAAAATTGGCTCTTCAGGTTAATAGTTAAAAAATTCGCCATTTTTATGCATCTTTATACTAAAACAGTAAATTTCACTGGTGAAAGAAATTAAAGGGACAATGACATCCATACTAATAATATTGAAAGGTAATAAAGGGACTAAAAGGCATTAAGTAAAAATAAAAAAACACTTGCGAATTTACAGTGCTGTTTAAAATCCCATAAATATATTTTCTTTTCTTTTTTTAAATTTGTATTTTGTTGATTTTACATCAAATTATACAGACAGGTGACATACAATAGATAATTCATGAAAATGGGCACGCAGGGCCACTCATAATAAACCAATCTCTTTTTTTATGTCCAATAGTTTACATTTAGTTTTAATTTAGATCTCTTAAATATTCACTTCAATCCAATTAATTATGCAAAGTACTACTTTACAATATTGTGCATATTCTCAGATACTCAGTGTAATTATACCGTATTCTGTGGAGGATCCATTTGTAAGAAAAATGTCTTATTTGGCTAAATGCATTATAGAGGAATTTAGACAGTGATGTTTAGTGATGTGTAACATGAAAACGCACTGATCTTAAATATACCCTGTAGTGTTCAGTGTCATTCATATTAAAAAATGTGTTACTAGTTTTGACTGTGGAAATCAGGGTTAAACATAGGTCACAACAGCTGAAAGTCTTCCATTTCAGAGAAAAGCCATAGGGTATATTAAAATCATAGTATATTTATAAAGCATTCAGGATAAGTCTAAGCACCATAACAACTTTGCAAAGGTTATGGTGCAGAGAGAAGCTTGCACCTTTGCTCCATGCCCATAGTAGCTTATAACTATAGTAATTTGTAAAAATATATAGCTGTATGTGGTCAGTGATATCAATGAGGAAATTTCTTTAATACTCAACAGCCATCCCACTTGCTAGACTTGTCCATAGTGTAAGAATTCCGCTCAGCTGAAGCAATGTTTCCAAAAATGTAAGAATTTTTAGAAACATAAAGGGAAATTATTGTCACCAAAACAATTTTAGCTTAATGAAGCAGTTTTAGTTTATATATTATGCCATTTACTAGTTAAATCCTTTTGTTTATGCAGCCCTGGTCACACCTCCCTACATGTGACTTGTCACTTATCTTTCTAAACACTTCCTGTAAAGTAAGATCTAATGTTTACACTTCCTGTATGTGACAGACCCATCTGTATAACTATTATTGCTGGTTCGTCTAGTTTGCCTTCCTTTCGTGGAATTGCCTGTTCGGATACCCTTATTCGTCTGTTTGACTATCTACCGAATGAACTTACCGAACGGACGGCCACCCAGAAGAGGAGTGTGCTGCTGGTTAACCTCTTGATCCCAATTAGAATGTTGTGGTTAACTGCAGACACCTCTTAATTACAACCAAATGCAGGGTGGTCGTCGTTCGTATGTCGACCACGAGGCGGCGGCCATTTTAAACCATGCGAAAGACCAGCGGTGTTTGGCACAGATTCTATGGAACTAAAAACGGACACTCTTTCTGCCGAACACCGCTGAAACCCGCAGACCGCCCTTCTCAGTCGACAAGGCATGCGAACACCGGCCGTTTGGGAGTTTGGATTATACGAATGGACTTACCCCAGATAGCCTTCCCATGGAGTCAATCGCGTACCGAAGAACTGTAATAGACTTTGACTCCATGGCGATTGAACTGTGCGTATGGGATCTGAGAATATGCACTCAGATCCAGGCTATCTGGGAATGTGTTACATGAATATAGTATGTTCGGTAGTTGTGTAATTACTTATTTTTATGTGTTTTTCAGGCTTTATTTAAAATGGCGATTTGCCTCTGTCCTGGAGATAATTAAATTACTTCTCAATTATCTCCAGGACAGAGGGGAGGAAACCAGGATGCATTCTGGGAATATTGTGTGCATGTATGTCTGGAAGTGCCATATGTCTGTCTGCCATTACAGTCTCCCATTTGGTCCCCTAGGGGAGTGTCCACCAAGTGGGGAACCTGCATAAATACGGGTGGGTAGCCCACAGTAAAGCCAGTTCTTGTTTTACCCTCAATGCGGAGCTTGGTCTCATTACTGGGGGGATTTACTACACGCGGTTAGCGACTGATTGCTGGAACCGTAAGCCGCTTGGAGGATATATTTGTTCAGCTGTTAACATAACGATTCGTGGATTATTGTTCAGGAGTTTGGAGCATCTGTACGGGTCCCGTTTGGGAGATTGGCACCTTTCACTGATTGCAGTTCGTACGATTGGATTCTATACGAATGGAGCTTGCATTATTGCAAAAGGGGAAGCTTAACTAAACTGCGGTTTCACTCCTTTGTGCCAGGGGTGTTTTAACACTGTATTGCACGGTCTGTTTAATTTAGAATTTCTTATCTCCTGCATTTTAATAGCTTGCTAGACCTTGCAGTAGCCTTCTGTGTGTGATTAAATTTCAGTTTAAAGAATGTGACGAGGGCAATCTCGCCAAATTGCATTGGAGAAGCCTGGTTGCTCGCCTGTTGCCTTTGGACTATGGCCCCATGTTAAAAGCCTTCTTTTCCCCTGCAGAAAAGGCTTATTTAACCGGATGCCTGTTCATTCAGTAGTTTAAACCGTATGAACAGCATTACCCCAGATAGCCATCCCGTGGAGTCTATTCGTATGGAGAACAGACTTTGTGAACATTTTAACTCCACGGCGATTGGACTGTGTGCATAGGATCTGAGCGCTATTCTGTACTTTTGTGCGCTCAGATCTAAGCTATCTGGGGATAGGTAGAATGTATATGTTTTGTGCAACAGTTGTAACTTTATACATTTTTATGTCTTTTACTGTCTTTTACTGCCATGTGGTTAATGTAGTTTTGCCTCTGTCCTGGGAGATAATTGGATTACTTCCCGATTATCTCCAGGACAGAGGGAGGGAAGTTAGGATGCATTGTGTGGATGTTTTACTTCTGTGTGTCTGTCATTGGTTCATGTCTGTCCTTTGTCACAGTCTCCCATTTGGTCCCCTAGGGGAGTGTCCACCAGGTGGGAGACCTGCATAAATACTGGGCAGGTAGCCCTCATTAAAACAGACCACTGCTTGACCCTCAACACGGAGCCTTGTCTCGTCTTTGGGGGGATTTACTGAATGCTGATAGAGACTGATTGCTAGGAGTGTAAGCCGCTTGGGTGCTTTTCCTATTCGTCCGCTAGCAGCTATTCGTATGGTTCTAGTTCGTGAGTTTGGAGTGCTATATTGTATGCAGTTTGGGAGATTAGAGCATTCCCTTATTTGTGGTTCGGGAGTTTGGTGTTCTACAGTAGCTGTGCCTGCATCTCAGAAAGGGGACGATCGCCTAAACGGCTTTAACTCCTTGTGTGCTGAAACGGTCCGTTACAAAGAACATTAGGTAAAAATCTCTAAAGTTACTTAACATATGATTGCATTTTTTTTAATGCAGGCTGTGTCAGTCACAGCCATGGGAGGTGTGGCTAGAGCTGCATAAACAGAAACAAAAGTGATTTAACTCCTACACGGCAGATAATTGAGCAGTAAGACTACAGGAACATGATTTATACACCAAAACCACTTCATCAAGCTAAAGTTGTTTTGGTATAGTGTCCCTTTAAAAAACAATCCTCACCATCTCCACCATGAGATATTTGTTCCTTCTCCAGTAATCTTAATGAAATATATAGAAATGTAGGGAGCGTCCCCTTCTCCTTTTAGGGGAGATGGATATATTAAAGGATATATTAATTTGGGATTAGATAACACGGACTGTAAGAAGTAAATTAGCTGAGAGAGTAAAAACTGTGTGTCAGTTTTGCCAACGGTATTCGATTTGATCAAAAGAAATATGTGCACTTGGATGTTTTTTTCCTCTAATAAATAGCTAATAATAATTTATATTTTCTACTAGTAGCTTGAGAAACTCTCCATCAGACATGTAACTTTTATAGACAAAAGCAAAAAAAGGGGGGATGGGTCTGCGCCAATGTACACAATAAATAATATCAAGTCCAATAGGATCTATATTATTGTCTCCAAAGTTTTACTTACACTGGCGAAACGCGTTTGGATACTTTTACTGTTTTTATATACTGTTAATATATATTTATACCATCATCTTTTACTATTACCTGGCCTTTTACATATATTTTAAATATATTTTATACTATTTACTTTTTTTTATTATTTTTATCTCCTGGGTATTATACTCCAAAGAATCCTAGGTGGGGATTATACCACCTACACTGTTACATAGAACAGTTAGCCTGCCCTATACACTGTGAGTATATTTTATTATTTTATACATCACCAAGATTTTATTGAGAGCACTATCGCTGTTTTATCTTCTCTCCGAGCTCCTGATATTCCCGTCAAGATCACTCATCCTATATCCTACAAGCGGGGATTATACCGCTGCACGCCTAACAAACTAGAGCTAGCCGAAGCTCTACCAAATAAGAGGACACTTGCCGTATATCCTGCAAGCGGGGATAATACCGCTGTAAGCCATTCACACCAGAGCTGGATTAAGCTCTGTCAACTGTAAGTAAGACCTCTTCTATTTTTACTACTTTGGATCATCCTTTACGTCACTGACATCCTCTGGATATCGCAACAAGTAGAACTTTGGAGACAATAATATAGATCCTATTGGACTTGATATTATTATTTATTGTGTACATTGGCGCAGACCCATTCCCTCATTTTTTGCTTTTGTCTATTGATTTCTAAGGACACTAGAGGGAGTCCTTATCTGGGACTGCTGCCTTCCTGATTAGCGCTGACTCTACTCCTTGTTATGTAACTTTTATGGTAACCTTATTTTTTTACATTTATAAAGAAATCATTTTTTAGTACTTCATAACTTAATATTTATGTTAGCATTTTTTTTCTATGTTTAACTACTAAAAATTCAAAACATACCAAAGTAAAGTTACAAAATAAATGGATATCATGTCCTATAAAGACTTCGGCAATGGAAATGGCTTTTGAATTTCAGAGAGAGCTTATATCCAAAAAGGTCTCTTGAGCTAAAAAAAAAAGGATTTAAAATATCACAAAAATACGTCTGACCCAGTCATACCATACTACAGAAAAACGAGGCTTAGTTATTAAACCTGCTGTGAATCCCTCTGTAGATCAATTTGTAGTTGAGTAAAAGCCTTGAATATATTTTATTTGCTGAAAACTTTGGTACTTTTATCTGCGTCTGCATGGCTGCCTTCAATTTTCTGTTCTGAAGGACATCTGAAGAAATCTTATAAAAAAAACTGTGTATTAGAGAATCCATACCATCCGGTATTAAAGATCCTTTTCAAGATCGCTCATTTGGAACCGTAGAGAGGTAACCAATGGTGTTGTATAGATGTATCAAACTTTTATAGAAAAAAAAAAACAATAAATCAAACATTGCATTTTGGGAAATGTTTGGTTTATTCATAATCCACATAATGTTCCAAAACCACAATGATTAGCCCAATCCTCTGTACTGTGTGCCCTTAAGGGGAACATTTTGTGAATTTCCCAAAATCCTCTTAGCAGCATTGACCTCATTAAGCAGTTTGATGGCCGCTTAGTGACCCTTCACTGAATAAAATGCAGCCACATGCTTGTTTATTTTTCTTATAATATAAAAAGGTTGTTTGCAGCACAAATGGTCATGATGATGTGAATAATATTTTGTCCAATAAAAAAATTAATTGTTTCTGCATTTCATCACACACACATACATGATCTCTAGTTTCCCAACTAAGGGAATTAAATTCCACAGAAGACGTTATAGAGAAGATCTAAAGAAGATCAGACACTAGATTTCCAGAGGTGACTGTTACTTTGCATATTTTTGTGATGAATAAGGATCTTTAATGATTCACAGTGGTTTACGGGAATTCAAATTTTATGTCTCACAATAGTTACTGTGGTGTTTCCTTCACAAACAAGCAAAAAGACAGGTTGCTAACATTCCATTAGATTTTCAAGATAAAGCTCTGTCAGTCGTATTTCGTGAACTTCAGTGCATGGAAGACAAAGAAAATCTGTGTAGTAATATATACACAACCTACAAATAGATCATTTTTCTCAACTTGTTTTGCGTTTCTAGCAAATTGGGAATTGTGAATTTCATACCAAAATGAAATACTCCATACCATTAGCTCCAAAATGGTAACACCAAGATTAAAATGAATACTCACTTATTGGGTCAAATAGCAACAGTGAAGTGAATGATTTCTTAGAGTGAAGTGAATGTTTTCTTAATAAATGTACAACTATACTAAAACTGTAATTAGTAAGCTATTTAATGCAGATGATGTGAAAAGGTTATCATCGCTTATGGCCCAAAAATAACAAATGTTTGTTTCATTTATTTAAAGAAAATGTATTAGCCTCGATTGACTGATAGACCGTTGGACAACGATTTTTAAAATGCAGTATAAAAATCTAACTTAAGATAAGTATAACATCAATTTTTTAACAGTACATTTATAGCCATCTCTTGGGATAATCACAGTTCAAACATTGTAACTGTTTTGAATTGTCTGCTACATTGTAATATGTTTTAGATGTTATCTAATGCAATTTGACTGACAAAGACTGATGCAACCAGTCAGATGTTGAGATGTAGCCTTTAGGGATATAAAGAGCGTGAAAAAATGAGGAAGATATGATTCAGAGCGTGCCCTAATGTCATGCACTCGAAGACATGTCACAGTGAGTTTCATGGGCTATGCTTTTTTAATTTTAAAACACACAGCATTAAAGGGTAGTGATATTTGGTGGAGCTATCTAAAATTGGAGATCTACTATAGTATTGTCCCTGCTGTATTATCTGTAATATGTCGGGCAAAATAGCTTTATTAAATAGTCATGGTTTGAACTTCTAGGCAATATTTTAGATAGTAACAAAAGGTTACAAAGGGTGTATGTTGAAATGCTTTTATTCATTTTCCATGCACACATTTTTTTTAAGATTTTCTTTTTCAGTTGCTTCTACTGATTCTGGTTTTTCATTTTACTTGATAAATGACGGCAGTAAACTGGTTGAAGTGGAAAACTGGATTGAGGGATAACAACAAGGAGCTGTCAATCAAGCTAGAATTGCTTTGCGTAAAATCAAATTTGGGGTAAGAGGATTCTCAACACGCTTGTCTGTGAAAATTAATGAGAACAGTCTTTTGAAGATTTTCTGCATGTCTTTACCATTTTAGTTGACTTTTTTACTTCTTCGGCCCTATTTGTTGGAATAACTCACCTAAAATAAAACACCTATCACTGAAAAGTAGATTAAGAATATTCAAAGAAGACATTTTTACTAACCTTGTGCTAAAAAATCTGCTAATCTCTTGTCAAGAAAGTTCTTACAAATACTATTTAACCCCTTAAGGACCAAAGGAATAAAAGGGAATCATGACATGTCACACATGTCATGTGTCCTTAAGGGGTTAAAGTGGAAGAGTTGCTTCTCTTGAAATTACACAATTGAATAAGTCATTGATAATCTCCCATAATTTGTGTTATCCTTTTATTTTAAATGTTTATTAAAGATTTAGTAGTTGACATCACAATCCAGTTTATTCCTGGCACAGTCAGGGCACATTGCATTGGAGGAGGAGAGATAAAACATTAACAGGTTGACACAGTGAAGGAGTTTAAGCATGCGTGGGGTAGGCATAAGGCTATCCTAGCTATAAGATAAGGCCAGGGACTAATGAAAGTATTTAGAAAATTGGGCAGACTAGATGGGCCGAATGGTTCTAATCTGCCGTCACATTCTATGTTTATTTCTCCTCTTTCTATGCTCTCTGTTCTGACAGAAAGGAGCAGAGAGCAGAGTTTATAACAGTGAGCAGGTAACTAACATGGAGGTATTCAGTATGAGGTTAGAGATAAATGGAGTATTGGTGATTTAAATATTTAATTTTTGTTTGTAGACCTCACAAGCACATATTTGTTAAATGCAGAGGACACGGAAACATGAAGTGATAAATTCTAGGAAGCAACAGTTTCCCCTTATACTATGTAAGTATACAAATTGTTGTATATTGACTGCCGTAAAGATGGGAGTATGTATAATAAACACAGTACAAGCCGTATACCCAGTATTCCTAAAAACAATATTATGAAATAAACAACCAGAATAATCTGACAGGTCATAATGTTTCTGCTTTTCTACCAGACTACAGACTACATTGGAGTGTTATCACATGTTACAAGTAATCCAATGATTTGTTTGCCTTTCCAATTTGTGTTTATAATGATGTTTAAAAAATAACTCAGAAATGCACAATTACTTCTTTTTAATGTTTTAATTTGATAATATTCAGACTATGT